GTTACATTGACTGAAGAGACACAAATTCAAAGAGCCGTGAATTAGGCAATCCTGATGCTGGAATACGGGGGGCTTACTTATCAACAAGATGTTATAGCCATATTTACAATTACTCGCTCAAAGCAACCGAATGGAAAAAGATGGACTTGAATACATTCAATAATAGCAAAATTACTTAGCTATTCCTGGTCAAAATTTCGTCTTTGCAATGAATTTGATATTTTCTGGAAAAAGTGCTCAAAAATTTAGAAATCATATGTGTGAAAAAGCTTCTTGCTCTAGCCTGATTTGGAAACATGATCAAGAAAAGTTTCGTGTCTAACGTATCCTGTCGCAAAGCTAAGTGAACAAAAATGGGAATTCTCTTTAAGATCCCAAGAAGAGATGCTCAGTTTAAAGCCCATCCTCTTTCAAGACTATCTTGAGCATTTCTTTGGTACAGAATTCAAAATCTCTGCTTTTTTAGAAGAATTTACAGGCTTTTTTGCTATAAGCTTAAGCCAAGTTAAGACTCAATTATTGATGTGAAGGCCATGCAAAATAGAGTTTCAAGGAAAATCTAAATAAATCTCACCACTGCTCTACTCCGCTTAATAAGCGCTAGTACGACAAGACTCTCAACGAGTGAAAGCGCTGTGAATGCCTTCATTGCCGCAAACCAGATGTCCATAGACGTCAGATACGAAGTCCTAATCTCTTTGTCACCTTTCTCCATTTGCACTAACGTCAGCAATACCTGCGATAACGAGGTTGACGGAATGAATTTGATATAGAAACCTAATTGAAGAAATCTGATTGGTTCGTACCGTTATTGGTGTTATGATGCGAACATCCTCGTAATTGTAAGGCACATAAGGAGCTACCCATGCAAACATCATTGCTAGTGTACTTGGAATGTACTTCTCTACAACAAATCTTCCACCGTCTCGCTCCAATTCGAAAACAAGGCGAATGCAAGACGAGTGAACTAAAATCATGGAGCCATAAATACCTCTTGCTCATATTAGCTGTGAACATCGGCAAAGCTTATTTCGAAGAGGTTCTTTCTTAGGTTTGGTTTGCTTTCTCAAAAACCGTGCACCTAGCAGAACA